TTTTTTTTTGTTTTTCTTTTCTTTAAACAAGTTATTGAATTATAATTAAGATTAGATTATATAAGATAGTCTTTAGAAAAACTTGCTAATTGAATTTTTCATGGAAATCATTTATTCTAAATATAGATTCATTAACTTACATAAATTAAATTTCAAACTGTTAATGAGAAAGACAAAAAATATATTATTTTATCATCGTACTTTTAAATAGTTAAAATATAGCAACAACAAAAGAAAGAGAAAAAAAGGATGTTTGAATATCATTAAGAAGAGAAGAAAAAGAAAATATATGGTATTGATGAATGCAAGAGAGAATAAAAGTAAGAATTTTGTTGTCAACCTTCAAATAGCAATCAAGAACTAGAGGCAAATGAAACATCCTGTTTCACGAAACTATACGAGAAAAGTCAATAGAATAGATGGGCACGTAACATTTCCGTTTTTATATTCATCAGATCCAACATCCTTTCGTTTGTCATCATTATTACTATACTTAGGACAACATAACAGAAACTAAAGAATAGGAATGTATATATTTAACAAAAAAAAAGAAAATCTCTTCTAAATATCTATTGCATGTTCAGTACTATATCATGTTTTTGTTAGTTACTCATAGAAATGCCATGAGAAACAATAATAGAAATATACTTATTAAACAAAATTAAATAAAGTTAATTCCAAATATAGAAGTAACAACATCTCACTAATTATTACTCAATCAATTACTCGAGCAAACACAAGATAGACTATTTTCTGCATCTATGAAATCTATAAATGCTCATTAACATTTCTTCTAATAGAATGAAATATGTACCCGTTTCTAGACACGCACAAACAAGTATATGGATTTAATTTCTTTATATATATGAAAAACTAGCACGTTCTTTGTGATATTGTCACGGCAATGCAGTGCAATTCATTATTGCACGCACGAAGGCCATATAATGAAGTAGTAGAAGAAAAACAAGAGCGAGAAACAAAGTTTTTTTTTAAAAAAAAAAGAAATGTAAGAGAACAAATCATATAATAAATCGATCTCTTATACAATAAAATCTAACGAGAGAAGAAAAACTAATGTCTTTTCAGTTTTTTTGTTTCTTCTTATCGCTGATGACAAATATAGATAATAACAAAATCGAATTGCACATAGTTGTCTTGTTTTTTCCTATTCTTAATCATTAAATCTTGTACAAAGATAAGACATTATCATGAATTTACAATGTAACACACATACTTGACTACTTACAATTAGATATAACATTCTTTTCGAATGCTTCTAGACAATATGATATTTAGTGACATCTACCACTAATTGAAATTTTAGACGATTTTAATCTGATACTTATATCAATTGAAATTTACATAATAGACAAAGAAAAATTAATCTAAGGACATATTGACATCATTGTAAATAAACGGTTTTTTGTTTTATACTAGAATGTTAGGGAAAAAAGAAAAAAACAAGATTAATTGAACATTTTCTTTTGATTACATTAGCTTTATTTTTTTTACAAAAAAAAATAGCATGAAATATATTGATGAAATAATTCATTAGATTTGACTTAGAATTAAATTTTTTTTGTATTTATTATTCATAAAAAATAAACTTCGACAATGACATTTTCAATAATAATAAAAAATAGCTTTTCTTTTTTGCATTCTTTTACACGTATTAGTGTATTCTCGTTAGTAAATAATAGTATTATTCAAAAGCACGCTCGTTGATGCTTATCATGTAAAACTAAATGAACTTTATCCAGTAGATCAATGATGATAATTATCGTCTTAGTTTTTTTTCTCTCGTCTAAACTATAGAAATATATAATGCTTCGTTAAACGTATAAATACAATGTTGTTAGTCATTTTTATTTTATTGTATTCTATTCAAAAACAATGTACTATTTTTTATATAATTGACCTAAAATACAGACACCGAGTTATTAATATCGAATAAAGCAACCAAAATCATATATCGAATTTTATATAGTCAAGTATTACACTTGAATATAACTAAGCAAAAATAGAAACAAGGACATCAACACTTTTCTTTCTTTTTTTTTTGTAACAATATCAATGTATAAAAGCTGATCGTAAAAAAGGGAAAAAAAATTGTAAAGATCTTTCTTTCTCAATAGAAAGAACGAATAAAAAAACGAGGAAAAGACAAGCAAATAAATTGGATAAGAATGTATCTTGACTGTTACGATTCTCCAATACTCCGTCAACAAAATGATGGTGTCTCTCTATACTTGTACTAATACATTGACGTACGAGGAGTCAAACTTCTTTGCTATTTCTCTCTTTTTCTCCATACGATTTTTTACTTGCATGCATGCTTGTTTCTTTTCGCTTGCTTGCTCTTTCTCTTCTTTCTTTCTCCGTATGCTTAGACACTCTTTCTCGTTCTCTTCGTTCGTTCGTTCGTTTGCTCGCTCGCTCGTTCGTTGTGTCGGAAAGATATTGCGATAAATATCTCTCGCGTCGCCGCGCCACGCTCATGCGCAAGAAATCAAAAAAGCCGATAGACTATCTCTCTTTCTCTCTCTCTCGTCTCTCAGTCTGACTGCTTACTGACTGTGCGTCTATACTACACCAACATCACTACCATCACTGACGACAAGAAGCAAGACAAGCAAAAACGACAACAACCTACCGCTATCACCATCACCACTACCACTACTACTACTACCATCAACATCATCGTTACTACTATTCTAGTAGCACACGATAGAAGCAGAATATATAACATACATATAGAAAAGTATCTTAATATTAGCACGACACCGTTCGACTAAACAGTTATTTTCGTGTCTGTCATTTCTGTATACAGCCAGTCATGCAGGCGCTTAAAGAACGTATATCATCAAAATTAAGTGAAAAATCCAAATCGAAAGATAAAGATGGACCTTCATCGCTCAAAAGTAGTAATTCAGTCGATGGTAAACATTCAATATTAACTGATTCACATCATCATCATTCAGCATCAAATACATCTGGTTACAATGCTCAATCAGCTGAAAAAGGTATTAAATAAATTTATTAGATGAGATAAATGATAATAAATTTTATTGACGCCTGTCGTTTTCAATAAACCTATCGTATTGAAAAAGTTGAAAAAAATCGAAATGGACACATGTTACTAATACATCGAGCGTGACATTTTCTTTATATGCGCTTGACATTTGCATATCTTCTTGATTTTTATTTGACTCTCTCTCTCTCTCTCTCACTTTTTGCTCCCTTTCAATTTATCTTATCCTGTATATCTGTATACTCGCAAAATATTCGATAAAAAAGATTGAAGAGAGAAGAGTTTATGATAGAAAGTAAAAAAGTGGCTATCTATCAGAAATCACTATAAACATGCAAGTGCGTGTTGTAATATCATTTTTCTTTTTCGCATTTATTTGGACTGCCTTCGTGAGCATAATTCTAGTTTTTTGTGTGTGTATTATATAGAGAAAAAAAAAGAAATTTAATGTGTACGTTAATGTAAAGGTGTCGCACGTACATAAATAAGAATCGATTATAAATATGCCATGTAACAGCTGTATATATGTATGATTATAGTCATTCTAGATGGTAGATTTATTTTATTTTAGAACAAAAAGAAACCTATTCTTATGATAGATTTGTTTTAAAGAGCTAAAAATTATTGTTTTCTTTTATTCTCAATTCTACAATCTTATTTTTTTACATCAGTCTTGGAAACTTGTTTTGTGTTCAGTGCATTAGAGATGATTAGAAAAAAATAACAGGATGAAGAAGAAGAAATGAGAAGGAGAAGAAGAAGAAGAAGAAGAAGAAGAAGGAAAACAAAAAAGAATGAGTATTGTTGTCGGACTAGTCCTAGTACGGCCTGAGTACTTGTTGTTGTCGATTCGATTGTCATTCTTACTTGCATTTCTGCTCAGCTCACTGAGTAGAAGCAACACGCGTATCCACACACATTGATTGTTTTTGTGTTCTGATGATGTTCTTTGTCGATGACATTATCGTTCTTATCGTCATCGATTCTTCTAAAACTTCTAATATATTATTGAGAAAATATATAGACAAATAGAAGAAATATATGTGTCATATTTTTCTGACAAAATAATTTAGTCTCAATGTAACATGTTGTAATAATATTTTATGGGATAACACTAACGACTCGGAAAAAATATCGATTAGATCAAGATTTAGATACAAATATATGGCAATCTATCTATCTATCTATCAATATATATATATATGTATATATTATTTGTGATAAAATGTGTTTTTATTCAATTCTTATTATAAAACTCATTCAATTAAACAACCCACAGAGACTAGTCCTGGTTCCGTTTCCGTTCTCCAGAGATTTGTTCATCAAAAATGGAGTCTAATTTAGTATATTTCGGTTTTTTTTCTTCCATAGATATTCATAAAAACAATTATATAATCTTTTTTTTTATATTAATAATAACACGAAAGATTTTATATCAACAATACTATAATAGTTTATATTAGAATCTAATTCATTAACTTGAATTTTTGTGAATCATTGGTTTTCTCTACAGAATATTTTAATAACAAAAAAACTATAATTAGACAACATTTAAATATAAAAAAAAAAGAGGATGATTTTTCAAATTAATCGAGCATCTGTTTTCCGCTTCTCTCTTTTTCCGTTCTAGTAACTAGCAAAATAAGATAGATAATACTAATGTGCATGCAAATTCTAACTAGCAAAAGGATAAAAAAAAAGAAGTCTTGAGTAACTAGTTTTCTTTTTTCTTTCTCGCATAACTGCAAGGTCGTCATTTATTATTAAGATATAAATACTGAAAACAGTTCAAATTAATAATCAATAAAAGTAAGTTTCATATTGAGAAAAAAGAGACGTTTATTAGTAATTCTCAGAATAGATAAAAATCGATATGATAATATTTTATTTGTTTCTTTTTTAGTGAAAGCATTTTTAGTTAAAGCTAAAGATGAATTTTCATCGAAATATGATAAACCAAGCCAGGTATGATAAATTTTAATATATAAATATATTTAAACAATTGTGTTTGTTTTTAGAACACTGCTAAACCTGACGAGTTTGACCGTATTCGAACTCTTGGAACAGGTAAATTAGTAAAACAACAAAAAAAACTTGATTTAAAAGAATTCTTTATTCTCAGGTTCATTTGGACGTGTTATGCTTGTTAAACATCAAACAACCGGTAATTTCTATGCAATGAAAATACTTGATAAACAAAAAGTAATTTGAAAAAAGAAATTGTATTAAAAATTATTATTTTTCTTTTAAAGGTTGTTAAATTAAAACAAATTGAACATACTCTAAATGAAAAACGTATTCTTCAAGCTATTTCATTTCCTTTTCTTGTTAATTTGGAATTTCATTTTAAAGTAAAAATATTATTATTTTGAGATCTGTTTTTTTTCTAAAATGAATATTTTTTTAGGACAATTCTTATTTATATATGGTTTTGGAATTTGTACCCGGTGGTGAAATGTTTAGTCATTTACGTAAAGTTGGTCGATTTAGGTAAAATAAAATAAATAAAAAAAATTTCGTAATTATATTTTGTTTATATATTTAGTGAGCAACATGCTCGTTTCTATGCTGCTCAAATCGTATTAACATTTGAATATCTGCATTATTTAGATATTCTTTACCGAGATCTTAAAGTAAGTAAAAAGAAAAAGATATTCGAATTCATCTTATTTAATCTTTGCTTTTAGCCTGAAAATTTATTAATCGATGCTGAAGGTTACTTAAAAGTAACAGATTTTGGTTTTGCTAAGAAAATCAAAGGTAAGACGACATAGAATTGTTATACAATAGTTTTCTTTATATTAAATGTTAAACACGTACACTCATAAAAAATATTTACGATGAAGAAAATAAAATTCAAATTAAGAATTCGTTTTCACTAGATATAATATCATAATTGAAATGCGTCATGTTCTCATGAATAGTATTCATTTTGTTAATAAGTATGATAAAAGAAAAATGGACTATTAGAGATAAATTAGTCACGTTATTATAATGATATAGATGTAATTATCTTATGTCATGGTTTTTTTTCTCATTCTGAATGATGTTTATACTTTTGAGAATAACGATTAGCAAAAAGTTCCATTAACTGAAAATAAATAGTCATATGTTAATGTTTATTATGTTAATATTAATCTTTAAAGAAAACAAAACATCGATGATTATTAAGTACGATGATATTTTTATTAGGCTTATTGTAATTGATATTTATAGCAAAAATAATTCTACGTAACCTATAAAAGAAAAAGTTCAATGTCATAAAGTAAACTTTTGTAGAGACATTTAGTTTTCTATTACTAATTCATTATTTTTCAACATTAAAAATTATTTATTTATAGGTCGCACATGGACACTATGTGGCACGCCAGGTAAATTCTATATTTCCATCTAAAGAAAAAAAACTTTACCATATCTTTTTTTTTTGTTAATAGAATATTTGGCACCTGAAATTATTTTATCTAAAGGATATAATAAAGCTGTTGACTGGTGGGCATTAGGTGTATTAGCATATGAAATGTCGGCTGTATGTATTAGATTTATTTTTTAATTATTAAACTATATCTTTTATTTTATAATCTAGGGTTATCCACCATTCTTCGCTGATCAACCCATTCAAATTTATGAAAAAATTGTTTCGGGCAAAGTAAAATTAATTGTTTTTTTTTGAAACAAAATAAAAATTAATTTAATTCTAAAATTTTAGGTTCGTTTTCCATCACATTTTAGTAGTGATTTAAAAGATCTTCTACGTAATCTTCTTCAAGTTGATTTAACAAAACGTTATGGAAATTTAAAAAATGGTGTTGATGATATTAAAACTCATAAATGGTTTTCATCTACAGATTGGATTGCTATTTATCAACGAAAAGTTGAACCACCATTTGTACCGAAGACAAAAGGACCCGGTTTGTTAATTGAAATAGTTTAATATTTATAAAGATTTCTTTTTCTAGGTGACGCAAGCAATTTCGACGATTATGAAGAAGAACCTCGTAAGATAAAAGAAAATTCTATTGAATTCTATTCATTGTGCTTCTTTTTGTTTTAGTTCGTATTGCAACAACAGAAAAATTTGGAAAAGAATTTGAAGAATTTTAAAATTAACTAAATATATAAATAGAAAACAAAAAATTCAGCCAAACTTTTATTTTTTTCTCTCTCTCTCTCTTCTTTCAATGATTATCTTCTATTTTTAATGTTTTAAAACGCATAGATCTGCGTCTTTATTTTTCTTTTCTTGCGACTTCTATAACTAGCTGTATGGTTTTTTTTTGCAGCAATACTTCTTCTTCTTCTTTCTCTTTTTATGTATAGAACTGTATTGGCAAGTCTCGTTTTTTTTCTTTTCATTTATTTGACCTATTTGATTCTCCTATATCCTGTGAGTTCTGACTAACTGATTTTGTGCTGTTGTTCTCGGTGTTGTTGTTATTATGTCATTTGCATATAAGATTTATGTGTTATTGTCTGTATTTTCTTCTTACTTATGTTTTTTTTTGGCAGAGAAACATTCTTTCCTTTTCTCTCGATTTTTTTGATTTATTTTAAATTTATCGAAAAAAAA